CGGACCCGGCCGCGACCGCCCTGCCTGGCTCTGCTGTGTGGGGCGCGGTGAGCCTGGGGGGCTGCTCCGCACGGGGCTGCCGAAGCCTTTCCCCTTGTCCCTTGGCGGAGCCTCTCCCGTGCGCTAAGCGTGCGCAGGTCCCTGTGGAAATACACGAGCGTGAGCGTGTGCGCCGGCTGCCCAGTCGTGCTGAGAACTCCACTGAAGTTCCTCAGAGCAAAGAGCCCTTGTGCCAGCGTTAGGGACAGCTACGACAGTCACCAGCTCCCTGCGGCTTTTGGTTTCTGTCGTTCCAGTTGCTTGTCGCTCATCTCCCTGCCGTAAGACGGTGCAGCCCCAGCTGCGAGGCACTGCGCAGGCACGCTGCCTTTCGGACCCGTGGCAGCTGGCAAGCCACCATAATCCGAGCTCCGGGCGCTGTCACGTTGGGGGGTGGTTTGTTTTTTAAAAACATCTAAGAGCCAAACCCCCCCTAGATGGGTGCCATTTTGGAAACAAGTCCTCATTACCATAGTGCTCGTGAGAAAACACAGCTTATACTGGGGAGGAGAGCCACAGGTCTCAGCATCCATATGTTTGAGTGTGGGCATTTCAGAAAGATCTCCACGCTTTTCTCAAAATGACAGTGCTGGCTGTGCGAGGACAAATCTCGTTCCTGGAAAACTTGGAGCACATCACTCATAGCTGCATGTTGAAAGTGCAGCTCCAGTGAGCAAACAACAAACATGCTTGTTTTGTGAAATGGCTAATTACAGAGTCAGTGCCTTACTGGTGATGGTGTGTGGTGAACAAGAGGAAATAGTCTCGAGCACACTTACTGTCTCCTATCTCTGTTTCATTTAGTTTCCTAATAAGGGCTAACAACTTATGTGCATGTTGGGTTTTATCTCACGTGTACATGTTAGTTGTGGTGTGGCAGAGATCACCCAGGTTCTGCAGACGGTCCTTTGGGTTGTGAGTCTGTGTGCTGAGCATGTGCAGCACCAGGGAGGGCAGCAGCTTGTGGGGTTTTAACACGTGTTTGGGGTCTGACAGGTGAGGAAACACTGCTGCTTTCTCACCAGTTGCCTAGGTAGCTACTGATCACGAAGTCCTGTGATAGCTCAGATAAATACTGAAACATGGATGGGTGCACGTTTTTCAGAGCATCTGACTTACTGCGGGGGCATTGTAACTGAGAGTAAAGTGCTGTTGAGGCTTAAGGGAGGCCTGTACTATTGTTATATAACACAGTCTATTTTCTGTACTATGTCTTAGGTAAAATATCTTCAGTATTATGCACAGCTTTGAGAATGCGTCTTGAATGAAAGGGTAAAGATATGAAGGTAAAAAGTTATAATTCTAGGTGTGTATTACTTTGTTTCTCCAGAAAGAGGTGGACTTGGATTAGTATTTTAGTATTAGTGTGTTTCCTTTTAAGTGATAACAGATTCCCCAGACGAAAATAATTTAATAGATTGCATTTGTTAGTGCAACATGAGGAACTGGAGAAGAGGCAACTTCACTGATAAGATGTAAGAAGCTACTGGGGAAGGAGAAAGCATAGCGGTGCTGAAGAGCAGGGAGGTTGCCTTGGTTCATTTTCATTTGTAAAAGCAGCACCAGTAAGGTCTTTTAATACCAAAACCAAAATTTTGATGAATGACAAGTGTGTCTGACAAAGGGAAATTAGAAGAATTTGCCTTGTTTGACTTAAGAAAGGAAGATACGTTAAAGTGTTGATATATAAATGGTTGTTTTCTGGCTCCTTAGCTTAACCAAGCTAGGAAAAATGAAAACAGTGGGTATAAATTGGCACTTAATGTGCTAGGCTTGAATATTTTTTTTAATTCTTTGGTCTTTTGTCTGTATTATTTTATGGGGAGAAAGGGAAGACTTCTGTTTACCTTAAAAATAAATCTAGAGGACTTAATGTAAGAGAGAGGATTCTGTGGATTCCTGCAGTAGCAGGGAGGCTGTAGTCAGCGGTGAGCTGGGAAGGGTGGCTTACCCAGGCACAGATATGCTACCACAATAGTTTTTGTTACTTTCTGTTGTCCATGTTATTGCTACAAGCCCTGTGCAAATGTCAGTATTCCTTATGATACTGCTGCCTTGGGAGAAGTTAATTGAACAAATATCCACCCATAATTGTGGTGAGTGGCTATTGTAGAAACACAGGAAGTAAAGTCAGACCTACAAGGAGAGGACTTGTGAGAATGGCCAGAGGGGAGGCTGAGAAGATGTAAGATTAGCCATTTAGAGGAGGAGGACTTTGGAGGTGGTCAAAACAAGATTATTGTCTGGATAGTGTTACTTGTATGTGTAGAGTACCTCTCTACTCATCAGAACAAATTGGTTGTGGTCTGTGCCTCGAAAGTCTATCTTCCAGAGTTAAAAAAGCATTTTACTAGTGCTTATATAGCTTTTAAACACTCGGTGTTATTCTAACCTCAGCACTTAAGTAGTTTTAAATAACCTGACTGTGGGTTACCTGTTAAGTACCTGAACATATTTCCCTGTTGCACTGTCATTTGTTGGGTTGTGACATTACATATTACACACTTCGAATGACTTCTTACTGAGGGATGAGTAACTTGGGTTGCTGCTTAGTAAGCATATTGATTTTGTCTGCAGTAGGAGAGACCAAACATAGTTTTGAATTAAAGGCAAATCTTTTTTTCTCCTGAAGACTGAGACTGGCATCTGATCCAAGTGTTTCTGGGTAAACTCAGGGTTAACAAGTGTAATTGGGGGTAGTGGGGCTGATTTCTCTGAGTTGTGTTCCTGGTCTGGGCAGTGGCTCTAGGAGGTGTAAAAATAATTACAGTAATTATTCAGCAGAGATTAAACAGGGCTGTTAAGGAATAGTTTGTCCCTGGGGAAAGCTGCTGTGCATAAAAACACCTAGAAGGTTAAAGCATTACATAAAAACTCCCTTCATAGAGAATTGTTCCAGTTTTTCTTGATGAAATGGCAGTTGAACGTTTTGGTTGAGAGGCTCTAAACTTTGCTTCTTTGAGTCTGACATGTCATTAACAAAAATGAACTTGCAGCAATATCAGCAAGTAGTAGTATTGAGTGTGTGGAAATATAACCAAAATATTGCTCAAAGAGATTACATTTTACAGAGAGTATCTTCGATTGAGGGATGATTTGAGGAAAACCAGAGTCACTGAAGTGTCCCACTCATCTGCTTCAGGGTATTCCTGAAGCACAAACAAAATGGGTACTTGAAAAGCAAGGCAGGAGGAGCTCAGGACACAGGGTTGTGGGGTTTGGACTAGCTGTAGCTAGGTGCACAGCTATGAAGCAGGGCTGTGAGCAGTGAAACCCTTTGTGCTCTGACAGCTGTGGCACACACTCTGCTTCACGTGAGGTAACTGCTGCTCCGTGCATTCTTTGTGTTTGGCCCAACTGGTGTAACCAGGAAGCAGCTGGAGATCTGCCAAGGGTGGTAGTTAGGGAGTGACCTAAGGTAGTTAGGGAGTGACTGGTGCAACAGTAACATCCTACCACTTGGTGTGCTTACTGTCACTGTTGTTATACCAGGGAACATCAGGTGCAGAGCTCAAACAGGGCATGCTAGGGTAATTCCTCCCTGAATAGTCATCATGGGGATGGCATCATGGGCTGCTGTGGCTGGCTCTGGGGACTTGGCTGGCCTCCTGCTCAGTCTCAGGATGTAAGGAGACTCACAGCTACTCTGAGCATCAGATTGTTAATAGTTCACTTTTAATTCTTTGCTTAAACACAGGTGCCTGATGTTTCCACTGAGACCCTTTCAGATAGGATATGTCTTGTCTGGTTTCCATGGCTGTGTCCTCAACAGGAGTAGGTTCTATGTGGTTGAACAATCTGGACAATCCTGCTAGCGTGTCCTCCTTATATGTCCTTTTGAGGTTCTCTTTGAGAAAGTTATGTTGTTTTCTTCTGTTGTGATGGTCAGTGAGGCAAACGACATGGAAGGCACAGGCACAGCAGTCACTTAATGCCTGGAGCTTCAGAATTAGCATACCAGTTGTTAGTGTCATAGACTCCAGTCAGGCTTGGTTTATGATCTAAATTCAGCGGCAGACTGTACTTGGCATTTTTCATTTTATTACAAGTCAACTCTAAATAGTGCCAACAGAATTCCTGTGTCAGGGAAGTGTTGTGTTATGTAGTGTGTGGTAATTTTAATGGAGCTTCAGTCAGACTGTGCTACTAACAAGTAAAATTACATTGACTTGGCAGT